TTGTTTGTTTTTGAAAAGAGAGCCTCAGGTGCTTCCAGCCTGCCTCAAAGTCACTATCTAGCTGAGAATGGCTGCCTTGAATTTCAGATTCTCCTGCCCCTGCCTCCCAAATGTTTGAATTACCTTGGTTTTGCTTTTTGAGACTTACTCTGTTGCCCAGGCTAGCCTGAAACTCACTGTGTGGTCCAGGCTTGCTTTGAACTTGAAGCAATCCTCCTGCCTCCATCACATGGTTGCAGAAAACACATACTGGCTTGAAACTCATAATCTGCAGCCTCAGCCTCCTTGGTGCTGGGATTACAGGCCTGTACCACCACACCTGACTAGTATCCCCCTTAGGGAACAAGAACAAAAGCAGGAGACCCTCAAGGTGGTACCAGTGGGATGGCAGCAGAGGGATGCTAGTTATGAGCTAGCATCTCTAACTAGAGGTGGGCGGCTTTGTTTGAGCTCCCAGTTGGACAGCCCTGCTCTTCCAATGCTCCCACAAAAGAGTAGGTTGGGGTGCAGAGCAGGAGGAAGGTGTCTGCTCTCATTCCATAGAGGTGTTAGGAGAGAGTGACAGTCACCAATAAGGGAGAGGCTGGGGAGGGGAACAGAAATAAAGTTCTGATTTGTTGGAGACATCTGGGCTCAGGAGCTCACTAGGACAGTGAAGAAGCACAGACCAATCGCCACTCCATCTCATTCCAAGTCTTCACAGTCTAGGGACAGCGCAGGAACCCCACTGCATTTTGAGTCTGTAAAGAAGCTGAGCCTGTCCCACGGTGTTCCTGTGCTACCTTGTACTGGGCTAACACTGAGCAGCTGCCGCTTGAGTCAACCCCATCCTAATTGAGAGCTATGAGTATGTGACACTACATGGCAAAGGGGACATGGCCATTGAACTTAAGAAACCTGGTGGGTACTGGGCCTGTGGCTCGTGTCCTTAATCCCAGCACTGAGGAGGCAGAAGCAGGCAGATCTCTGTGAGTGAGTTCTAGTTCTAGGCTAGCCTGGTCTACATAGAGAGTTCCTGGCCAGCCAGACTACAAATTGAAACCTGAAACTTTGTCTCAAAATTGAAAGAAAAAAAAAAGAAAGAAAAGAAAAAGGAAAGAAAGAAA